TTTTTTTTTTTTTTTTTTTTTTTTTTTTTTTTGTTCACTTATCCATAAAGATGTGGAAATTGGCAACAGCAACAACGGAGGTCTAAGGAGATTGCAGTGTGCCATCCATTTGCACATCGTCATAGATTTCAGATGGTGACAACACCCCTTTAGGCTGAGTAAATTTGTATGAAAATTCGTAAACAACGAGTTCAAAGAGATCATCTGTTATTCCTTTCTAATTGGTACTGCTTTTACGGGTATAAACATGTTGCCTAAGTTTCCTAAACAATTATCTGCGAGAAGTTATTATTTTTTTTTCTTTAATGACTCACTCATATTTTTCTTGATGTATTTTGAAAAATAAAAATGCAGAACTTTCATGCATTTCTTTATTTACTTCTAAGATAGCAATAACTGAATTTAAGCGAATTTCAGTGTCATTGAACACACAACAGTGACTTCAAACAAAAAGGCAACAAATTAGCAACAAACTGAACGAAAACTAATTAATGCTGTCTATTGGTAGTGATAAGCATTAATTGAATGGGATGTGAAAAGCGACAAAACAGTCAGCTGTAAAGTTATTGTTTGAAAAACAGAAAAAAAAAACTTTTCCATCTTCTACTGCAAAGCCAAAAAAAATCTTTGAAAGTTATTTTATATCATTTTAATTTTTGTTTTTGTTGCTCCTCCCACAACTGTAAATTATGTATATGTTTCTGATTCTTCATTTCGGCTATTATTATCATTACCGAAAGTTCGCTGTCGATAAGTACTACAGCACCATGTGAAGGAGCCAAATCATAGCACAGGATATTTTGCATATACTGTTTATATGGATCCGAATATCGATCTGCAAAAAAAATTTCAAACAAACCTCAATGGCTAATGACTTACTAAAAAAATGTTCGATATTATATAAAGAAAAAAAAAAGATGAAAGAACTAAATCAAGTGTTAATTAAGCAAACGAAGCAAAAAGATAATAAAGCACAAAGAAACATCACTAAAATATCTGAAGTCTAAAAAAAAAA